GCGCGCGCCCCCTCGCGGCACGCACCCACGGTGTCCGGCTTGGTGCACTGGATGTGCATGTACCCGCTCTCCCGGATGAGGCTGTAGAACATCTTCTCCTTCAGGGGGGACATGAGCTCCATGTCCCTCTCCGTGTAGCCGAACAGCTTCCGGAAACGCGGCCCCAGGAACAGGGTCAGGGTGTGGAAGTTTCTCACCACAAAGGCCATGTTCAGGTGCAGGCCTTTCACGTGGCTGGGGGCGGAGAGGGGCCGGGTGAGGCTCGGCCGGCGGGTGTCGGGGGGTGGGGGGGTGGGGGGGGAGGCGGGGGGAGCAGGGAGGGGAGAGGCAGAGGAGGGAGAGGACGCCAGGGCCAGCCCCCTTCAGCACCCACCCCTCTCCGGTGGCCATCCGAGGCAAAGGGGCAGGTTGGCGAGAAAATAGAGTGTCTCTAGAAAGTTCTGCTTAGGTATTTGGTCCATTAGGAAGGTCTATTCCCTGGCCTTCCCCTCGTCCAAGTGGGCCTCTCTGCCTGGGCATCTGGCCCAGTGTCACCAACCCTGGTCGGACGGTGTCCCCAGGGCCCCGGGTGCGGCTGGACGCCAGGGAGCCCTCCCCCCTCCCCTGGGCTCAGCATCCCAGCACCCTCCAAGGCTCCACACCGGGTCCCGGGGGTGGGAGGGGGGCAGCGTGAGCCCCCCTGCCAGCTGCACGGATGGCCAGCTGGGCGGTGCTGTGCCCACACACGCATGCATACTCCCCCCCAAGGACCCTCACCTGGGCACCAGCTGGGCGATGTTGGTGCAGATCAGGGACCCCCAGTCCCCGCCTTGAGCGTAGAACTCCTGGAAGCCCAGCCGCAGCATCAGCTTATAGAAGATCCTGGCGGTGGCCACGGAATTCAGGCCTGGTTGTGGGAAAAGGGGTGGGGCGGGTGGGGGGGTGGGGGAGAGACAGCATCATGGAGCCGTCACCCCCATGTCCTGTGAAATTCCTCACCCCCGGCCCCAGGCTAGCCAAGAGCAGCTCAGGAGGACAGCAGGAATCCTGGGGCCCAAACCGCACTGGGGCCCTGGCTGGTTTGGCTCAGTGGATAGAGCGTCGGCCTGCGAACTGAAGGGTCCCAGGTTCGATTCCGGTCAAGGGCATGTACCTTGGTTGTGGGCACATCCCCAGTGGGAGGTGTGCAGGAGGCAGCTGATCGATGTTTCTTTCTCATCGATGTTTCTAACTCTCTATTCCTCTCCCTTCCTCTCTGTAAAAAATCAATAAAATATATTTAAAAAAAAAAAAAAAAAAAAAAAAAAAAAAAAAAAACCGCACTGGGGATCAAGCCCACAGCCCGGGCATGTGCCCTGACCAGGAAGGAAACTGACCTCCTGGTTCATAGGTTGACGCTCAATCCCTGAGCCATGCTCTTGGACCCCAAGAAGAGGCCTGGGCCTTCTGCCCAAAGACAATGCCCTCCTTGGCCCTCCTCCCTTCCTGCCCGCCTCCCCTGGCTCAGGAGGAAGCTTCCCAGCTGGCTCCCTGCCTCCTCCTCCCAGGAGAGCCTGTGGGAAAGCCTGGCCCCAGGGGAGGAGGGCGGGCCCCCCACCCCGGCCTCCAGCGGCCCCTACCCTTCTTGGAGGACGCCTCGGAGTAGCCATAGCCGGGAATGGAAGGGCAGATGACCTCGAACACGTGCTCGTCGCTCAGGCCGTGGCTCTTGGGGTCCGTCAGGAGCGGGATGATGTTGTAAAACTCGAAGAAGCAGCCGGGCCAGCCGTGCACCATCAGCAGGGGCTTGGCGGTGCGGCCGGCGGGCAGCTGCGGGGGCTTCACGTGGATGAAGTGGATGTCCAGCCCTGGGGGTGCAGGGGGCACACCAGAGTCACGGGGGGAGGGGGGGCAGGGGACCAGGGCCCTGCAGCTGGGGAGCCCGCCAGCGGGTTCTGCCACCTCGGCTCCCCACCCCGGGGCACAGGTCACAGCAGGAACAGCAAGAGCCGCCAGCGCTGGCCGAGTGCTTACACTCACACCCGCTGCACGGGCCCTCGCTCAGCTCCACGGCCTCCCTGTGAGGACGGGGGACTCCGTGAGGCCAGGGCAGGGCAGGGGCAGGGGCAGGGGCAGGGGCAGGGGCTGGGGCCGGGGCCGGGGCAGGGGCTGGGTGGTTGTGCACTGTTGCTTCCCAGACCAGGTCCTGGCTCATGGCAGGTTCATGAAACACTTGTTTAATAGTTTAAATATCAGGGGGAAATGCCCCATGTATCTTAGCCACAGAGTATGGGACAGATTGAAGTTCAACAGTGCCCTGGAGTGCAATACAGCTGTTTATTTTTTTAAAATATATTTTTATTGATTTTGTACAGAAAGGAAGGGAGAGGGATAGAGAGTTAGAAACATCGATGAGAGAGAAACATCGATCAGCTGCCTCCTGCACACCCCCTACTGGGGATGAGCCCGCAACCAAGGTACATGCCCTTGACCGGACTCGAACCTGGGACCCTTGAGTCCGCAGGCCGACGCTCTATCCACTGAGCCAAACCGGTTAGGGCTTAGTTGGGAATCTTGCCTCCTCTGAGGCACAGTGCAGGATGGGAGATTATTTTTAATTCAAGTTTGATCGCATTGTCATTTGGGTATAAAATTAGAAAAAAAAGCACAAAACCCGTATAGACATACATGCTTGGGTGTCCACCGGCTCTCCCTGGGAGCAGATATGTGGGGGGAATGGGGGAGGGGGTGGACTGGGGAGATTGCTTTTCCTGCGTACCCTTCTGTACTTTTTTTTGAATTTTAACTATTTGAATTTTCAAAATCTCCTCCTGTGAGGAGGACACGTTCTCCTGGTTTCTCTATCAGCCGGTGGTGCCCGCAGGCTGCTGGGTGAGGAGCCAAGCTGGGCTCAGACGCAGCGCTGGGCCTGGTGGGTGGTGAGGGGAGGGTGTGGGGTGAGGTCATGGCTTTGGGCCTGAGCTGGGACCGGCTGAGCAGCTGCGTCCGGCCTCGAACCTCCGCCTCCCTGTGACTCGGTCCATCGGTCCATCGCTCTGGGCGGTGGGCTGAGCAGCCCTGGAGGCCTCGGTAGAGGCTGGTCGGTGGTGGGAGGCCATGCCGGGGCGAGAGCCAGAGGCTCACCACAGACCAGGGAGGATGAAATGGTGAGGTGGGTGGGGACGAGGACAGAACACTGGGGTGGGGGTTGAGCCTTGAGCAGCCAGCCTGGAGCACAGGGGTCAGTGCAGGGCTGGGAGGACCTGGAGGAGGTCGAAACACGAGGGAGGAGGACAGCAGCATACAGAGGGGGAGGAGGGCGGCCTTGGACCAGCCCCAGGCTGGGCGGACAGCGTGGGAACCTGGGCTCCCACTGTTGCCTCTGCTGGGATTTTGCGTTCTGTCTGCATCTTGGGATAACTTTTAAATAACATCTCAATGACCAACCCCTGGGTCCTGGGTCTCCCCAGCTCTGTCTGAGTCACGTCCAGCGTCTGCGAAGGCCGTGCCTGTGACATCGCCCCCCCCCCGCCCCAGGCATGTTGGAAACATACCTTCGATCTTCGTCTTGAAGTGAGGGTATTTGTTGAGAACGGCCACCTGCTTCCTCCAGTCGAATTCGTCCCGCCAGTAGGAGAGGACCTTCTTCAGGTAGCTGGAGTTAAAGCCGTAGTGAAAGCGGCTGTTCTCCAGCGGCGGGGTTAGGCGGACCTTCTCGATCCTTCGGTACAAATCCTGGAGCAGCGCGCAGGGCCCCGAGGAGAGAGGGGTCGGGGGGCAGAGCTCAGAGGAGGTACGTTTCCGGAGGACAGAGCTAACCCTATGCTCCCGCGGCGGCAAAGCCAGAGGGCGCGGAGGCCCCCGGCCTGGCCTTTCGCTCCGGGCAGCGGGCTTAACCCAGAAGAAACCTCTGCGTTTCCCATCACAGGGGCTGTTCCTAAAGCTCCTGCTCTTTCCTTTTTCAAATATATGTTTTTTTGTCTTTTAAATGTATTTTTATTGATTTCAGAGAGGGAGAGAGACAGAAACATCAATGATGAGAGAGAATCATGGATCGGCTGCCTCCTGCACACCCCACACTGGGGATCGAGCCCGAAACCCGGGCATGTGCCCTTGACCAGGAATCGAACCCGGGACCTTCAAGTCCACAGGCCAACGCTCTATCCACTGAGCCAAACCAGCTACGGCTAACATATATATGTTTTCATTGATTTTTTTAGAGCGAGAGGAAGGGAGAGGGATGGAGAGCTGTGTCCTGACCAGGAACTGAACCGGTGACCTCTTGGTTCGTGGGTTGACACTCAACCACGGAGCCACACCGGCGAGGGCCCATGTTCCTTGCTTTTGACTTCAGGTTTATTTCTCGTCTTTCAGTGTTTAAATCAGCGGTTCTTAACCCGTGGGTCGCGACCCCTTTGGCGGTCGAACGGCCCTTTCACAGGGGTCGCCTAAGACCATCCTGCATATCAGATATTTACATGACGATTCATCACAGGAGCAACATGACAGTGATGAAGCAGCCACGAAAATAATTTGATGGTTGGGTCACAGCATGAGGAACTGTATTTAAAGGGCCAGAAGGTTGAGAACCACTGGTTTAAATGTATGAACAATACGCATCTTTCGTCGATCTAGGCTTCTGCGTGCAGGAGCTGGCCAACCTTTTGGGTAGAGGGCCAGGTAGCCGGTATTTTAAGCCTTTGACCGGCCACTCCTCTGCTCTGTCCTCCAAGCACCGTGGACGACGGTCCGTGGAGGAGTGAGTGTGGCTATGTCCCAGCAAAACTGTATGTGTGGATCTGAACCTGAATGTCATATAATTTTCACGTCATGAAACATTCTTCCTCTTTTGATTTTTTTCAACTGTTTAAAGATATAAACACTGCCTGGCCGGTGTGGCTCAGTGGTTGAGCGTCCACCTATGAACCAGGAGGTCAGGGTTCGATTCCCGGTCAGGGCACATACCCGGGTTGTGGGCTCGATCCCCAGTGTGGGGCGTGCAGGAGGCAGCCGATCCATGATTCTCTCCCATCATTGATGTTTCTCTCTCTCTCCCTCTCCCTTCCTCTTTGAAATCAATAAAAATATATTTTAAAAAATAAAATGAGAAAAAGCATCTTTAAAAAAGTTAACTATTCTTGGGATGGAGGCTGTATAAAATCAGGTGGCAGGAGGGGTGTCCCATGAGCTGTGGTTCACCCACTGGGATGTACAGCACCGAATAATTAATATATCATAACTGAGCTGGGATAAAAGAGGGCTCATGTCGGATGGGCGTACATCGGACCAAGACAGCAGCCCTGGCTGGGGAAGTTAGTTTAGCTGGTGGAGTCTTCCTGGAGTGCCCCCTCCCCAGCATTGGGGTCACCCCCAAACAGGTTTTGGAAACTTAGGCTCTGAGCCTAAGAACCCTCTAAGGGAGCTCTCCCCAGGGCTCGGCCTCTGTCCTACACAGCGAGGCCTCATCAGGGGCTGCAAGGAGCCGCACCTGCCTTCTCCTGGGGGCGGCCAGTTTCCGCTTTTCAACAGCCCCTCCTTTCTCAGAACTCTCGCGACGTTTTCCTCAGCACGTCTGACGCCATCTATCCCTTTTAACCTTTTAGTTAACTTTTCTCTCTGCGCATTTCTTTCCTCAACGACTGAACTCTGAGCTAGGTGAGGGAAGAATCTGCCTGCCTTCCGGGCACCCAGCATAGCGCCTGCACACAGTAGGTGCTGCCATACCACAGAAGAAAAGCAAACATGGGACATCCCAGGCCCCACCCACCCTCGTGGGGCTGCTGGAGCCAGCCTCTGGGTCAGCCCACCCTGCTGGCCACATCCTTCCTGCCTCCGGCCCCGCGCGGAGGAGGACAAGGCCTTACAGCTGGGCAGACCTCGGGCCGGATCCTGCAGGCCATCTCCCTCACCTGGGATGAGCTGCTTTCCCTCTCTGAGCTTCAGTTGCTGCAGCTGAGAACAAAGACCTCACCCGGCAGGAGGACCGCAGGGACTGGACGGGACCGTGAGTGGCTGGCACACAGTAGGTGCTTCACCAGCGCTGGCCCCGCCAGCAGGTTCTCTGTGCTTCAGCATTTGGTGGCCCCATGGCCTGCTCTCCGCCCAGGGCCTGACGACAGACACCCCGCTCGCTTTCTCCTATAAGCTCCTCCCCGGGTTCCAGATGGGCCGCAAAGGAGGTGAGACGCGAAACTGGGTCTGGCGGGCACCCCCTCTCCCACCTGGGCACTCCGAGGAGCGGCCCTTTCCCCTCCCCAGTCTCGGGCAAATGTGGGGGGGCTTCCTCCCTCCCCTCTGCTCAGCCCTGCCCGGGAAGAGGGGCCTTACGTTGAGCTCCTCGTCCGACGTTTCCACCTTGAAAGGGCGGATGCTCTCATCCTCCGGGGCTGTGGGCCTGGCCCCGGGCCCCCACCACCCATCTCCAAGTGGCAGCGTGTCCTCCTTGTCCCCGGAGAAGAACCAGTAGATGACGAGGCCCAGGGCCGAGGCGAGGAGAATTTCCAGCCACATGGCGCCTGCAGAGGGGGAAGGCCGTCAGCCGCCGAGACCACCGGCCCGGCTGGAGCCCTGGCGGAGACACCATCCGCCTGACCTCTCCCACCCAAGCCCACGCAGGGGGGCACCTGCTAGGAGACCCAGCCTAGGTGCCCTCATTCCCCACAGGACCCTGGAGAGGAGTGGGGGGAGGGGGCTTGCTGAGGCCCCAACGTTTGCTCCTGCCAAGAGCTGCCCCCCTAGTCTGAGCATGGGGCCACTGGGGCTGTTCCAGGAACAGGGGTACAGAAATGGGACTTCCTGGCAGGGAACCCCTGGGGTTGGCTCCCCCCGCTTCCTGCACCCAATCCAGGGCCCTGTTTCCGACCGTGACCCTGCTGACCTCCTAGTTCCCATACTCAGTCCCCGGAACCCTCCGATTCTCCCCTCTCAACTGCCCGTCACCAAGTCCCCAGGCCACTCCGACCCGGCCACTCCGACCCAGCGCCCGCCTCTGAACCGCAGCCCGTGGCACCCACATGTTGATCGCCACCCCATCTCTCAGGCTGCGGGCGTACATCTGACAATCCGGCCGAGCATTTGTGCTGGGCCCTGTAACCCAGCGCGCCCACCGCCACCTCCCCCTTTCGGCTGAGAAGCTCTGAAGGGGCTCAAGGCCTCTTTCCCTTCACGCCATGAGTCTCAGCCGCCCCAGAGAGCAGGCCTCCGCCATCCCAGCCGGAGATGGGATGTGGCTGGTGGTGTGTCAGCATGGGCCCTCCCCACACCCCTTCCCCCTCCCTCCCCACACCCCCCGTCCCCCTGCAGCCGGGTCACGGCCTTCATCCTTCAACCCCACGCCAACAGTGCCTGGCCTGTGTGTCAGCTGGAATTAAACAAGGCGAGGGGCAGCTGGGGAGAGTCCCTCCTGTTTCAAGGAATTCAGAAAAGATAACTTGCAACAGCTCCTTCCATTCATTTCTCGAGAGACCCTCTGTCCCTGCCAGGAAATCCTTTTATTTTTATTGACTTCAGAGAGGAAAGGAGAGGGAGAGAGATAGAAACATCAGTGATGAGAGGTAATCATGGATCGGCTGCCTCCTGCACACCCCCTATTGGGGATCAAGCCTGCAACCCGGGCATGTGCCCTTGACCGGAATCAAACCCGGGACCTTTCGGTCCACAGGCTGACGCTCTATCCACTGAGCAACACCGGCCAGGGCCGGGCAATCCTCCCTTTGAGAAGATGGAGCAGGGCCAGCGCTAGCCCTCCTGATAGCTGAAGGCTGGGTGGGGCTCAGGCCCTGCGGGGAGCGTGCGGGAGGGGATGGAAGGCAGAGAGCAGAGCTGCCCCCGGCAACAGGAGCAGGTGGACGCGGTTCCCCGGGCAGGCGGGCGGCACCACAGCCGTCTGGAGCTTGTCTGTCCTGGTGGCTGCCCCGACCCCAGGGCCCAGCACCATCCCTGGCATGGCCAGGCAGTCCGCCAAGATTTGTGCAGCCCGCACTGTGGAAGCGAATCAGACACATTTTGCACAGTGTTGTCAAGGGGGCTGAAATCAGAAGGAACCATCTAGAAGGGTCCACTTCTTCAGCGTCGGAGGTGAGCTTGGCAAGCCACCCTCCTTGCCTGACATCAGCACAGAGAGACGGGAGCTTCGCTGCCATTTCCCTCTGGGATTAGTGATCAAAGTTCTCTTTTTGGGCAGGATGAGCCCAGCGCTTGCCCCTGTCCACGTGGGAGCCGCCACCTCGACCTCTGATCACGGCCTCGGGAAGAAGCAGGGATGCTCAGCGGTGGAGTTCGAGGCTGCTGGGGAGGTAGGGCTGGCCTCACTTGCCGAGGTCTTTTTACCATTGCACGGTCCTGCCACCTCAGCTGATGTGAAGGGTGTGCAGTGTGGTTCTCTCCCCTAGTCTTCAGGCCGCAAGCTGAACCCCATGCCCAGGGAGAATGTGAGAATGACACAGGAAATCAGCCCCGCCGGTGTGGCTCAGTGGTTGAGCTTCCACCTATGAACCAGGAGGTCACGGTTCCATTCCTGGTCAGGGCACAGGCCCGGGTTGTGCAGGAGGCAGCTGGTCGATGATTCTCTCTCATTGTTGATGTTTCTATCTCCCTCTCCCTTCCTCTCTGAACTCTGTCAAAATATATTTAAACAAACAAACAAACAAACAAACACAGGAAATCCGGGACGAGGGGCGTAACGATGGCCCACTCCAGCACCGTCCAGGCAACGTAACAGATTCAAGGAGATTGTTTTCATGTTAGTGTTTCTTTTCTTTTAAATTGAATTGATTGGGGTGGCATTGGTTAATAAGATTATGTAGGTTTTAGGTGTACGATGTATAATACATCATCTGTATATTGTATGTTCACCACCCAAGTCAAGTCTCCTTCCACCACCATCTATCCCCCCTATATTCTCTTCTACACCCCCACCCCGCCTCCCCAGAAGAAAATGTAAAGCCCCTTCTCTTGCACCCTAATTAATTTAATAAGAATATTGATATTTAGCTCAGGGGTGGTGCTGTAGAGCCACTGATCACAGATCACAAAGCAGGCATTACCACAGTGTGCAAATTACCTAGTTCTCCCCACCTCTCCCACCCAACCCCAAGGCAGGGAGGAGCTTGCTAGGAAACCCACCCAGGGTGCTCTCTACTCCCCACAGGGCCCTGGGGGGGTGGGGCTTGCTGAGGCCCCGAGGTTTGCTCCTGCCAGGAGCTGCCCCCCAAACTGAGTATTGGGCCACGGTGGTGGTGGTGGGGGGGGTTGTTTCTTGAAATACTCCTCCGCAGGGGTACAGAAATGGAACTTCCCTCCCCCTTCCTGCACCCCAGTAGAAATCCAATGTCCGTTTTCTCTGCTGATAGCCTTTGTTTTAAAATCTATTTTGTCTGATACAAGTATTACTACCCAGCTTTTTAAAAACGTTCCATCTGTATGAAGTAGCCTTTTCTATCCCTTCGCTTTTAGTCTGCGTGTGTCTGTCCTCCTGAGGTGGGTCTCTTGTAGACAGCACACATATGGGTCCTGTGTTCTTACCCGTTCAGTTCCCCTATGTTATTTGATTAGAGCATTTAATCCATTTACATTTGAAGTGATGACGGATAGGTACATATGCATTGCCATTTTATTCTTTTAACTATTTCCTTTTGCTGCTGCTGCTGCTTCTCTTCCATCGTCTTCTCCTCCTCACTCTTTCTCCTTCTTTCTTCTTCTTTGATTCCAGGCCCTTTAACATTTCTTATAATGCTGGTTCAGCGGTAACAAACTCCTTTAGCTTTTTCTTGTTTGGGAAGCTCTTTATTTCTCCTTTAATTTTAAACAATAGCCTTACTGCGGAGAGTAATCTTGGTGGAAGGTCCTTGCTTTTCATCGCTTGGAATATTTCCTGCTAATCCTTTCTGGCCTGAAATGTTTCTCTTGAGAAATCAGCTGACCGTCTCGTGGGAACTCCCCTGGAGATAACTGTCTTTCTCTTGCTGCTTTTAAATTCTTTGTCTTTAACCTCCGTCATTTTAATCATGAGGTGTCTTGGTGTGAGCCTCTGTGATCTTGTCTGTAAAATGGGGATAACAATGCAACCGCACAGGCTGTTTGTGAAGACGGCCTGGTTCAGAGCAGCTGCTCCGCCTACTCCCTTGTTGCTGTGCGGGATCGCTCTGTGCTGGAGGACACCCCAGGGGGACTCTGTCCCTATTAGATTATGCAGCCCACGCCCCGGTGCCCGTCACCGTCTGTGTGCGTTCGTAGGCTGGACGTAGGGCAGTGCATGGCGTGGACGCCTGGGGTCCGCTCTCCTTCCTCACCAAGGACTGACGTGGGCAATGGACATCCTACCTTGTGACTCTGCGTAAACATATGGAGACACTTCGGTTGGGTCCAGACCTAGGAGTGTGTACATCGTTGCCTACCAGCCTTTTCCCAGACACGTCCCCGGGGAAATGATATTTGCAGCGTCAGGGGGCAGAATCCTGTTTGCTACGCCTCCACGTCCCCAAGGAGAGCTATTCTTATCTCTTCCGTGTGGTCAGCCTCTGCTGGGGTAGAAAATGTTCTAATCACTTCGAGAGGCAGTATCAGCATTTAGGAGGCACGGTGAAAAATTCCGCAGTGACACGATACAGAACGAGTGTGCCTGCTTGGTGATGCCGGCCCGGGACGTTAGAGCTGAACTCCCACAAACACATGTCATCCGATGAGGTGGTTATTATTGTCTTTCATGCACTTTTCCAGAATCATACTTTGCTGACGGGGTGGGAGGCGGGGGAAGGGAAGCCTTTCTGAACGAAAGCATTTCTTTTTTCTTCTTGGAATCACAATCCTCTTTCTGAAAAATGATGAGCTTACCTAGTAAGGAAAGTGTCGTTTTTGTTGTAAAGCGGCCAAATTTCTTTTAAACACACAAACTGGACGACAGCGGTCATCTTATATAATAAAAGGGTAATATGCAAATTGACCAAACGACGGAACGACCGGTCGCTATGACACGTTGTGACCACCAGGGGGCAGGCGCTCAACACAGGGGCTGCCCCCTGGTGGTCAGTGCGCTCCCACAGAGGGAGCGCCGCTCAGGCAGAAGCCGGTGGGCGAGTGCAGCTGCGGTGGCAGGAGCCTCTTCCGCCTCTGAGGCAGCACTAAGGAGCAGCGAGCATGTGAGCAGACGGGTGGTAAGGAGTCAGGGCTCCTGGACTGTGAGAGGAATGTCTGCCTGCTGGCTTAGGCCCATGGGGAGCGGGCCTAAGCCAGCAGGCGGACATTCCCTGAGGGGTCCCAGATTGCAAGAGGGTGCAGGCTGGGCTGAGGGACACCCCCCCCCCCCAGTGCACAAATTTTTGTGCACTGAGCCTCTAGTTTAGTTATAAGAGGCTAAACTTCAGGGGGAAGCGTGATGAGCGATAACTGGCTACTCTGATAAGAGATGAGATCAAATACAGTTTAATCCTCCCAGTTCTGCAGGGAGGTCAAGTTCTGGGCATGCGGTTATGAAACCCGGGGAAAAACATTAGGAATGCGTTCAAGTGGAAGAAGCTAGTTGAGGAATGTGATGACCATGACCCTCACGGGACCGACGCAATGTAAACCGTTTGAAAGGGACAAGCGATACAAGCGAAGCGATTTATTGGTTTACTTTTGTCTTTCTGGGTCTCACTTTCTGGGAAAATTTTTAAAGATAGGAGGCCAAGTAGGGTAGGTGCTTTGTTCTCTGGTACTGTTCAGAGGCATGTAAGTTTTCATAATTGGAACATAATATTTCTGTTAGGCTTGGAGCAAAGATGCAAGGTTGAAAACATGCGACTCATGTTAAGATGGACAGAAGTAAAAGCTCAGCGCACTCTTTTCCTGTTATTCGAACTTGGTCTGTGAAGTATCAGGGAGTCATTGTTTTTTAAAATCAATAAGAGAGTTGGACCCGTGCCTTAGCAAAGCAAGTATAAATCTGGTCTTGGGCCAGAAGGTGGTTCAGCAAATACTGCGCATGACTGTGACCCAGGGAATGAGAGACAGCCCTGTACCTGCAGCAGGTCACACTCCACTGAGACAAACAGATGAACTAATAATACTTTCTAGTGATCGATACACCATATGTACAGTCAGTCAGGTGCCGCATAACGACGTTTTGGTCGCCGACGGACCACATGAAAGACTGTGATCCCGTAAGATTACAATGGAGCCCTGGCTGGTTTGGCTCAATGGATAGAGCGTCAGCCTGCAGACTAAGGGGTCCCGGGTTCGATTCCGGCCAAGGGCACATGCCTGGGTTGCGGACTCTATCCCCAGTGGGGAGGCGTGCAGGAGGCAGCCAATCAATGATTCTCTCTCATCATTGATGTTTCTCTCTCCCCTGCTCCTTTCCTCTCTAAAATCAATAAAATATATTTTTTTAAAAAAAGATTACAACAGAGCTGAAAAATCCCTATCACCTAGTGTCCTCACAGCGCCGTCATGACTCACCTGTTAGTGGTGATGCCAATATAAACAATCCTACTGCTCTGACCGCACTATAAAAATACAGCACATGGAATTATGGACGGTGCCTAATATGTGATAATGATAAATGACCCTGTTACTAGTTTATGTATATACTATACTTTTAACAATGTATTTTATTTTTATTATTGGTGCCAGAGAGGAAGGGAGAGGGAGAGAGGGATAGAAACATCAATGATGAAAGAGAATCAATCAGCTGCCTCCTGCACGCCCCACACTGGGGATCGAGCCCGCAACCCCGGCATGTGCCCTGACCGGGAATCGAACCGTGATCTCCTGGTTCATAGGTTGATGCTCAACCACTGAGCCACGCCGGCCGGGCCCCCCACAGATGTTAAATGCCCCTGAGCTGGGGCCCCCCATAAACTCATTCACACACCTTCCAGCTTTAAGTTGTATAACGCAAGAGGGACCAGACTGTCCCCGCCCAGCAGGGTTCACGTGATCATCCCAGGCAGTGTCATGCGAAGTCCTGGTCCAGCTCATGTTCTGCCAATTAAAATAAGAGCTGTCAAGTCTTCCATTGGTTCTCAGTTACCAGGGAACACAGCCCAGGTAGAACACAGTTCACCGCCTACGAGGAAAACACAGGCCCTCCTGTGGCAGTTCAGTACCTGGCAATTCTCTGAGCAGAGGACTCCTGTGTCAGGGATAATAGGAGTGGCCATAAAAGATGCCTATCAGATTCCTTTCCCACCATCCACCGCGCTCTGCCCTCCCTCCGCTCCCCAGGCCGGCTGGTCCTCAACAGGGCTCCTTAATTGTGTGTGACAGGATGGGCCCTGGCTCAGAGCCACCTTCTGGCCTGGCACGTAGTGAAAGGGCCGGTGCTGCAAGCGGAACAGCCCTAGAGACCAGGCAGCCTGGCCGGCGTGGCTCAGTGGCTCAGTGGTTGAGACCTAGGAACCAGGAGGTCACCGTTTGATTCCTGGTCAAGGGCACAGGCCCGGGTTTGTGGGCTCCATCCCCAGTAGGGGGCGTGCAAGAGGCAGCTGATCTATGATTCTCTCTCATCATTGATGTTTTTCTCTCTCTCTCCCTTCTTCTCTGAAATCAATAAAAATATATCAAATAATTTTTTAAAAAGACCAGGGCCAGGGTACCTGGGAATGTTCCAGGCTGTCAGTATCGTGGGGGGTTAGTGAGCTTGCCGCCGTGTCTAGGTTGCACAAAGGAATAAGTGACAAAAGGCTCGGCGTACTCCTGGCGTTCAAAGGTCCTGGGGCAGCTCTGAAATGCAGATGTGCCATCCGGAAGGAGCAGCACCGTGGCCTGGGGGACAGCCCTGCTCTATGCGAAGGGGGCCCTGAACCAGGCCAGGGCGGCCGCCTCCCCCACCTGGTGGCTGGGCCCGCCTCTCCTGCCTCCTCACCGGGACACTGTGGCCACAGGCAGCACCACCAGAAAGCGGGCACGTAGCTCCACGTCCCCAGAGCTGGCAAGAGAGTCAGGCTCCTGAGCTGCCCTTGTAAACGGCCTTGGTGCTGGAGCCAAACTATTTCTCTCCGTTTCCCGAAGGTCCAAGTGCCTCCAGTTCTCATCCGAAGAGGAACACGCCAGAGAGTCGCCACTCAAGGTGGCAAAGGTCACACAGGCCACGGGGAGAGGCAAGTCCTGAGGTGGCGGCCCTGGGGGAGGGTGGAGAACCCACGCCCTGGTCTCCGGAGGAGCCCGCGTGGCTCTGACTCCGCACGGGGACACGCAGCCCTCCTGCTCCTGGGCCCTGGCTCCCAGCTGGGCCACAGCCAGCCACGTGGGCCCGTGGCAGGGACACGCGTGTGTGTCTGGGCCCCACAGCTCCGTGAGGAAGCCCAGAGAAGCCCTGGGCTGTGACCCGGGGCTGGGGACAGTAAATCATCATCTCCTGTACTACAGTGACCCTGAGAAGCAAGGGGTATTTTTTTCTGGCTTAAAGAGATTGAAAAATGAAGCTCAGAGAGGCTACGTCATTCGCTTGAGTCAACCCCCCCAAGTAGGCGCCAAGAAGACATCAGAATGCAGTCAGTCTGCATATTCATCTTCCCAAGAGCTAAAGGCAGCATGCACTTCTGTTCCTGACCGGGGACAAGGCCTGGGGCCCTCTGTGGGTTCGCCAGAGAAGCTTCTGGAAAATTTCTGAACTCCCCAAAGAGAAGAACATCTCCCCCCTCTCGTGCAAGCACGTCCCCTCAGGCCCGGGGCAGCCTAACAGGAGGCTTTGCTGCACCTGGGTGCCCACCCACCAGGCAACAAAAGCCGAAGATGGAGAGTGGGGATCAGTGGGCACGAGAGCTGCACCCCAGGTCCCAGCCGTCCGTCCGGAGGGGGCTGGAGGCCGGCCTTGGCAGGGAACCTTCTCTCTGCCCAGGGCCATTTGGGTGTTTACGACATCATTCCAGGGCCAAACAAAAGGATCAACTTGAACATGAGCCTGCTGCATGTGGTGAAACATTTCATGAACTCACCCCGGATGCCCTGGCAGGGCCAGACCAAAGGGTTTCTCGGGCCTTCAATGGCCCCTGCTTTGGAGTATGAAAACAGCCTTATCAGGGAGGGAAAGGGTGAACTCTGACCCCCGCGGGAAAGTCAGTAGGCCTGGATGGGAGACAAGGCTGCTTCCCTTTGAACTTGGTTTGCACAACTGTGTGTTGAGTTCCACAGTTCACCCTTGGACAGTGTGGGGGGTTGGGGCACTGACACCCCACGCAGTCGAAAATCCACGTATAACTTTGGACTCCCCCAAACCTTAATTACTAACGACCTACTGTTGACCGGAAGCCTTGCTGATCGCATAAACCAGTGGTTCTCAACCTTCCTGAGGCCGCGACCCTTTCATGCAGTTCCTCATGGTGTGGGGACCCCCAGCCATAAAATTATTTTCGTGGCTACATAACTGTCATGTTGCTACTGTTATGAATCGTCATGTAAATATCTGAAATGCAGGATGTATTCTCATTGTTCGCGACCCACAGGTTGAGAACCGTTATTAACGTTCAACAGTCGACTAACACATATTCTGTGTTCTATGCATTACATACTGTATCGCCACACTAACGTGAACTAAGGGGAAGAACAGGTGATTAAGAATATAAAGAGTTTCACCTGCGAGTTTTTTCAAATTGTTGCACAGCTCCAAAAAAAAAAAAATTAAAATCTTCCGATATATTTATTGAAAACAATCCACGTGTTAAGTGGACCCGCCCAGGTCAAGCCCGTGCGGTCCAAGGGTCACGGTACAACCCCGGGTCGGCTGGCACCCTTCTCTCCTGGTGAGAGGGAGCTGTTCCCAGCGCTCACCGCTCCTCCCTCCTCAGGAGTGGGTGTCCCTGGCAAAGCTATGGCTCCCTTGGGGGGCGGGGAGGGGGGTGAATGCTGGGGTGCCTGCTCCCTGCTGCAGCCTCCCCACCTTACCCCACAGCCTCTGCTCCTAAAGTGCCGGCCTAGACCAAGAGCGCCCATAGGTGGCCCACCCACAGGTGGCCCCAGCAGGCCAGCGGGGCCAGGCAGGGACTCTTTGGCCTCAGCCTGGGCCCCTTGAGGTTTGCCCCCTGCCCCCGGGCCCAGACTTTGACTCTATTGAAGCCGCCCTCAGGGCACCTGGCATACGCGGCAGGGCCCACCCAGGTCCCCATCGAAACTGCCCACTGCCCACCCACATGACTCCTTTCCCGCAGATCCCGCCGGACTTCTTAACCGCGGAGCCATCCCCCAGGAGGGCTGCAGGGCCCTGCGGAGTGGAGCCCGGCCTTGCCGTTGTACCGATGAGGCCCCGGGAGGGTGGCATGAATGGCAGCGCTAGGGCATGAGCCGGGGCTGCCTTCTATGCCAGTTCTCTTCCCACATCATCACGTGAGCGCCCAAAGGGATGCATCACTGAGGGCGGAAGCCAGGCCCCATCGGGGGTGGGTTTGGAGCGTGAGCTGGGGCTCTGCAGGTCGCCACGGGCTGCTCTGTGCCCCGCCAGCCCCGAGTGGGTAGGCTGGGCTGTTTCCTCATCAGCGGCGAGCAGCCCGCATTCCGCCCTCCCATGTTTTGGAAGCTCAGCTACGTTCCATGTCTTTGAGGACATGGAGTCTGGGAGCTCCTGCCTTCACATGCCTGGGCCTGGCCAGGGCGCTGGGCGGGGAAGAGTCAAGGTGTCCCGTGAACAACCACTCAGCCCTGGCATGTTGGGCTCGGATGCGGGGGGGAGGGCCTGGGCATCGGTGGGTGCTGGTGCTGGGCGTAGACACCCCACACGAACCAGGACGCCACGGGAGGTTGGGGAGGCGCTGCACTTCCTCCAGCGGCCGGAGGCTCTTTCTCTAAAAGTCTCTCTGCCGCCCAGGCTGGTGTGGCTCAGTGGATAGAGCATCGGCCTGCGGACTGAGGGTCCCGGGTTCGATTCTAGTCAAGGGCACATGCCCAGGCTGTGGACTCGATCCCCAGTAGGGGGCCTGCAGGAGGCAGCCCATCAATGATTCTTTCTCATGGTTGTTTCTATCTATCTCTCCCTCTCCGAAATCAGTAAAAAAAAAAGGGAGTCAAAATTAGGATGACAGCCTTGCTAGCCCCCCACCTCCCACCCCCGAGGCTGCAGAAGGGGCCCACGTGAGAGGCCAGGAGCCCATTTGCACAGCCTCTGGGTCAGTGCGCGCTGCCAGGGCGGGACGTGGAGTCGTGGCCCCCCCCCCCCCCCCCCCCCCCCCCCCCCCGCCCATCACATTCCTGGGCTTCGGCTTCATGAACTCTCACAACCCCAAGGCCAAGTTCCTGGCTGCGCGCAGGGCAGGGGCGGGCTGGGCGGGCTGGAGAACAAGGGGGCGGGGGGCGGGCAGAGACGGCAGGAAAGCGCATCGCGACTGCAGGACGGGAGGCCGGCGGCAGGCCTCCGGGGACACGCGCGTGCATGTCCCTGCGGGGCCCAGAGGCACCGTGGAGTCACCATCTCCCGCACAACCGGGCAGTGCCCAGCGCGCGGGGGCCGCGCCATAGCTGCCCCGACTGTGGCCTCCTCCCGCCTGCGCCCCCGGGCGGCGGGGTGGGAGGGGAGGCGGCGCACAACGTCCCCGAGGTCTGTCTGCAAGTTGTACCGGGGCCCCGGCCAGACGGTGCGGCCCCACAGCGTCCCCAGCCCGCGGCCCCTCCCCGTGCACGCTTTCCCACCCCCCCGACCCCCCCACCCCCGCGCGATCGCGCCGCTGGGCCCCGAGCTGCGCACCACGCGCCCCGCCCCGGGCGCTTACGGTCGGTCGTCGGCTCCCAGGCTCCGGCGGAGACCCGCACCCGGTCCCTCCAGCTCCCGGTTCCCCCACTCCCGCGCGGCTGATCTCCGGAGCACAGGCACTGACCCCGCCCAGGCCCCCCCTTATCCCCCCTCAGGGGCGTTCCCGGCTGGGACGTCCTGGTCCGGCCCCGCCCCCCTCGGCGACCTGGGGGACCGCCCAGCTTCGCCGCCCCCTCCCGGCAGGGCTCGGGGACTCTCCCCGCGTTTGGTGCAGTGACTTCCATTCCGAACTTCAGTGCTGGGCACGGTCGCATCACCACGCTCCGCATTTGCGGAAAAGCCGACTGAACTGTACACTCCATGGGGGAATTTATAGTGAGTTATAGCTCAGTGAAGCTGCTGTTATGTAAAATAACTGCGGTGAGACGGTAGCCTCACCCCTTAGGGTATGAAACCCAAGACACTGAGATTTCGGGGTACCATCTACACATACGCAATCTACAGTCCATAGAATAAGTAAGATGCAGAGTCCAACTCAGCAGGGCAAGATGTGGGCACAGCTCTCCCGCTTTCGGTCAGAAGCCGTTGGTACGGAGAGGACGTATGATGTGCTCTCTGGGATAAATTATTTTTAAAAATCAGAACAAAGGCTGTTCCTCTCTACAAGCTTCTGGCCAGTTTCCAGGTACATTGGGCGGAGGATAAATAACCTGCTGGCCCCTCCCTTCCTGGTTGCCTTTGTAGTGCTAACAAGTGGAAGATGTAAATAAGAAAGAAAAAGGCCCAAAAAACTCCTGATCCCATTAATTATGGGGGGAAAAAACCGCCACAAACTCAAAAAACCCTACACTCTTAGATCGCTTTCCTTGATCCAGAAAAGAGCCGCGCCATGGAAACAGGACAGCTCAGAGAAATGGAAAGTACCAAGAAACAAAACAAACGTTTACTCACAGAATCATTATGCTCAATGTGGACTAAATGAATACAGTATATGCCAGTCAAGAAACGAGTAATTCTTGTGAAGTTAAAAACTTCGAGAGAAACAATATATATTCGCATATTTTATTTACTGACCTCTTTGAAACATGTCAAAATTCATATGGCTAGTAGAACTTTCCATGTTAAAAGGCTGCTCAACACAACAAATTCCTAACAAAAAATATTTTAATGTGGGAATCAACATATGAACATTACATTACTTGGTAAAATTCAGGTTACAAAGATAAGATAAATATCAAATAATATTCTTCTGGCTTAATGGAAACCTAACAGTTGTGATGGTCGTGTTTAACCCCTTGGTTCGGTAATGAGAGGAATGGGCAGGGGCATCGAAGAGGTACGAGGTACGCAGAGATTTAACATGACAACAGTTATGTTAAATAACATAACAGTTCGCATAATCCTTAGCCCTTCTGGGCAAGTCCCCATGGGAAATCTGTGACAAATGCCCTGTAATGTGCTGGCTTCCGTCTATCAGTGACCATTCTGTTCATGTGTTTTAAGCACTGAGAACTAGATTCAAAGTTTTCTCAACAAGCTTATTAATACTAATAATCCCTTATATGAAAAAATAGTTTAAATTTGCAAAGTTCAAGATAAAGCATACTTGTTTTCATAATTACTTTTAGATACAATTGAGACTCACTCTACTGTACATAATCAGTATGTGCAGTTAATTCTAGTTACCGTATTTTATATTTGTTGGTCGCCAACTGCACAAATATTATGCCCCAAAAGAAATGATTAACCCAGCAAAATGGTTACATTTAATTTTTTTTAAAGACAAATAAACTAAACTTAAGGAAGAATAGGCTTTTCCTGATATCTCATTTTCAAATTATTGCTACAAACTTACTGAAAGAAATAATTACATATTTTTCCCCAGCATCAAATAATCTGCAGAAAGTTTCCAAGATAGACACATTTCTTGTTCCATTTCCAAAAATAAATAAAGGCTTTCTAACTGAAAGCATTTGCATTCTTCGCTCTCTAGAGTAAACATAAGAAGCAAAGTACAAAACAATGGTCTCTTGGCTTCTGAATAGTTACAGTAAGAATTTTCTGTCCCAACACTGCCTCAAATTCAAAAGAGATTTACTTCCTAAGAGCATGGCAAGCAGTCTTCACCTCAAACCAGTCAGTCCGTTTCCATGGCAACACTGCGGGATTCCTTGGCTACCATAAGTCGCATCAGTTGACTGTGGAATTTCTCAATCTTCTTTACATCTTGAGCTTGGTCTGTTCTGTACACCAGACACTGTCAGAAATTTTAAAAGTACACGTTAACTATGCAAAAGCAGATGAGCAACCATGTGCCAGATGTGTGACTGGGTAAAAGTGTGCGTCTGTGCTGACGCTGTGCTGCTCTCTCCTCTCTGGAGGTCATACTAAGAAAATCACATCCACGTTTCCAAGCCTCCAGCAATCACATCCCTTAAGTTTGTCACTGCTGTGGATAAAACACTGCACGAACTCTCTCAGAAGCTTCTCAGAAACGACCAGTTAAGCAACATGTTAAATACTGCTGTGGTCTGGTGAGAAGAACTCTTGAGCTTTAAATTAACACAGGAAAGACAGAGCTTAGGGCGGTGAGGGTGGAGTGTACCTTGAGTGATGAGGAGCCACTAAAGGTTTGAAGGCGGTTATAACAGTCAAACTCGCATTTCTGAAACCATTCCAGCAGCAGTCTAGGAGGACTGAAGGGGGAACTGTTAGCAGGGAGTCAGGAGACTATTCTAAGAGTCCAGGCAAGTGATGATGACAAGATCCTAACCTTAGAGAGTAACAGTGAAGATGGAGAGTTCACGACAGGAAATAAATGAGGGAGCTCGAACCCCCAACCCCCAAATGCCTAGACAAGTGTACAGAATGTACCAGAGGTTCAAGGTTAGGAAACAGTGG